ACTTTTTTTTTGTTACTGATTTTTTGTTTTGTTTGCTGCAATAATAAACCCTTTTGTTTCAGTCACAGCAAGAAAAAAAAAAAACCCAAACAAACAGACAACCCTCTCTGGAAAGTGTAGAAATCAAAAGATTTGACCAGAAATTAAAGGTGGGGAAGGGAAAGGGGCTGGGTTTTGTTTTTAAAATAGGACTGGAAGTTCAAACATTGAAATGTTAGGAATGATGGCCAACCCTCTTTGCAAGGCAAAGCCTTCCAGTAATCTCAGCATCTGTGGTTTTTGTTTTAAATTCCTTTTTCTCTTCTGGGTGCTGATACTTCTCCATCCTCATATTCTTGGTGTTTTGTTTTGTGTTTTTCGTGTTGTTGTTTCGCCTTTGTCACTACGTCAATTTGCCCTCATGTCCCTTACACACAAGCAAAATACTCCTTCAGCGCAGCGAAGAGGTGCTGAATGACTGGCACACTCCACCACCCGCCCAGCAGTCTCTGCCTTGTCAAGCGGCTCATGTTGGAGACATCGGTATAATGCACAGGGAAGCCAAACACCCTTTCCATTCCTGTGCACCATTCCTGTCCTCTTTCTCATTCATAAAGACGGCAAAATGCTGGTCTTTGCCCTGCTTTATGGAGTTTGACCTAGTAGTAATGGTCCTTACTTTGCTGAACTTGACTGTTCTGCCATGTTCCAGACATTCCTGTAGCTACAGCTTATCGTTCGTAGTGGATGCCAACGGCCTATTCATACCGGGAAGGTTACCCCAGAACTAGCGGTTCCTGTGTACAGCAGACACTTCTTTCGCATCAATCATCACAGGGTTGGACTCGAGAAATCGCGAGATGACCCTCTTGTCACTAACACCCACGGCCACCATTATCCTCCAAGAGCCATAAGAAGGGACGATCATCTCCCTTCTTGGGCCGCGCATCATGCAGTAGGCGGTAGAACTCAAAGAAGAGGCAGCCAGTACCCTTGTAGAGTAAATATCTTGAGGGCAGGGTTGACGATGGAGAGGTTATTTCAAGGACTGCCCCCAATCACCAGATCAAATGGGCCCCACTGCTGGATATGCTTCTGGGTAATGCTGCGGACGTCGCCAACGTACATGATCTTCCCCTGAGGTCGAACCATGCCCACTGTGACGGAGTCCACACACACCTCTGAGGCAATGTAGCGGTCCACCTGAATACCCAAGTCCTTCAGCACCAGAAGCCCTGTAGCAATTCCATCAAACAGGGACAGCACCTGGATGGGTGCTGGACTAAGCCTCTTCTTAGTCCAGACAGGTGAGTAAACTTTCGGAGGGTCAAATTTCTGGTCATGGTTGTTCGCGAAGAACATCTGGAGCCTTGAGGGCCAGTCGTCCCGCCTCCGCAGCAGCCCATAGGTACACTTGTGTCGGCACATGTTGCAGTTCTAGGAGTCTTCCTTAATGACTGCCTGGACAGCCCCTGGCCCCACCAAGACATCCACACACTCCACGCAAAAGCACCGGCAACAGTTGTTGTTCTCACACATGAGCACCTCAAGACCCCCATAGCAGATGGTGCAGTAGGACTGATAACTGTCGTCATCGTACTGGCATGTACACTCCAGGAAGCAGTTCTTGTCATTCTGGCACATTCCTTCGATGAGGAGAGGTATTTCAGGGTAACTTGGAGTCTCCACAAAAGATGCAGCTATCCTTGCTGTTCCAGCACTTTTGCTGCACCTTGTATACCAGCCGCTATCTTTTGCGTTCATCAATGATCTCCTTGACTTGGGGCTTCTCAGTTGTGCTCTTCTGGGGCTTTTTGGCTGGTGGAGATGAAGCATAGGCAGCTAGCTGCCTGGGATTCAACCCACATGTCTTTTAAACTTCTTTGTAGGGAATCTTCTCTTCTGGTGGCTCCAGGCCCTTTAGTCCTGAGGGCTGAAAGCCCCCAAGAGCCCCTCAGATCATTTGTTTGCTCTGCACCTCCAAAACCGTGGCAGTGTCACTCTTGTTGCTGTCGTGGCACTCCGGAAACAGCTTTCCTGCGTGACTGCTGACCACCTGCAGGACTTCATAGATGGCTTTGCAGTGCATGGTCTGCCTGGTGGAACACATTACAAAAGGAGCTCAGCTGCAGCAGTTTGTCCACACACACCACGGAGAACATGTAGTCTCTGAACCATATGACCCAGCGAGTGCCTTCAGCTGCTCAGCTCCAGCCCGTTATCCACCAAGACACAATACGGCCTGGCCACTGGGAGAAACCCCCCAGCTTTCCCCACAGGAGTGCCCCAATGCCAACGCCCCAGCCATCCTCATACTCAGGTTCATCATCAGCTGCTTTGGTGGCATTCTTGTCCCTGCTGTCCTCCCCCTCAGGTTCAGGTGTGGTGGCCACAGTGGGGAATGCAGGGTCTATGGGCTGCTGCACAGCAGGAGGGCTGGCCTCCTCCACCTTCTAAGACTCTCCGGGTCCCTGGTTTTCTTCCACAGCATTCATTATTATAATTACCTTGACTTTCTTCTCTGCCCATAAGGCCAGGCGCAGCCCCTCTGTGGTCCAGCTCAGCTCCTTCCAGTTTTAACATTTCATTTTAAATAGATTCTTTTTTTCTTTACAATTTCCCACTGCCAGGTTTCAGGTATAAGAAACTGCAATACTTAATTACTTTATTGATTTAGAAGGGATAAACAATGTCTCATTAGTAATAAATAGATAGCTAACTGGTTTTCACCTCTTCATTTGTTCCTAAGACTTCATTAAAACAAAAAACAAAAGAAACAATTCTGCCAAGAAAGTACAAGTGTCTCTTTTTAAGTAAAAATATAGATAAATAATACTTAGTAATATCCCTTTGTTTATCAAGAACAGGGGTCACCATGAGGTGAGGTTGCTGAATTTGCTATTATATTGAACAATGATAGATACTTATCAAATTCTTTTCAACAACTATGCTAAAAATACTTAGTAGGAAGTTAGCTAACTCACTCTGGTTGTTCCTCATCTCCAAAATATTTTACCATTAAAATATTAATATTTTTAACAAGAAAAAAAGGAATGGAAACATAGTGTAGCTTCCAACAGGAAATACTAACACACTTACATTATTCATTTTCACAAAGAGAATTATAATAATTACAACAATCTCTTACCTAGTCTAGGACATGATAGTTTCTTAAAACCGTCACAATCTATACATAAGCCAGTCTTGTAATGGTCATATGAAGGACAAGGAAATGAAACAAAGTTGCATTGTGTTTCCAAAGATGCCATGAAGAAGTGAACTGCTCTCTGGTGGTCACACTTTATAAATTCAATCCCTTAAGTATTAAATAAAGCAAAATAACTGCAGATGATTAAGCCAAGTCAAGAAAATTAGAGGAACATTAAATATTAGGCTCTTGTAAATACAGTATACCTTATGAACATTAACATGTTGACTATGATACAGTTTGCTCTCAATTCAGCATATGGTGCTATTGAAAATTCAAGTATGTTTGTTACATTGGATTGATCATTAGTTTTCCTAAATGAGATTTTCCACAACAAATAGGTCTAATTTTAATAATTTAGTAAGTTTTACAAATATGATAGGCAAAAATATTATCTTTAACACTAGTAGACATATTTCTTCATTCTCATCCCACACCCTAACATTGTATCCAGTGTCAGAGGTGACAAAGACACCTGGTGAGATTAAAACTTTATCATGTTCCTTACTCTTTCTAACTTCTCCTATCATCATTCCCTTAGCTAAACTTCAACAACTACATAGAATGTTAGTTAGGTGTTACTTGGTCACTGCCACTGTGGTCCTAGGCACATTTCTTGCTATGGTTCTGAAGTGAGCCAAATTGCACACTTTTAATAGTTACTCAACTATCTGTATGTACAAGACAAGCAAATGTCAAGAGCTTATGAAACCCAGTCTACAGTTTCTGAGGAACCCCTAGTAAGTTTGAACCACCGACTTTGCAGTTCAAACTGAACTTGAGGCCCACTGCTTATCCTACAGTGCCACACCAGGACTCCACACCAGAAGTTAGTTACCCTCAAATTGTCTCTGATTTATAGCAAATTTAAGGTTAAATCCTAAGATCAGACTTGTGCTATGCCTATGTTAGCTGTTTATATTTCTTCAATGACTTGAAACTTGTTTTAATGTTTAAAATAATCATCTAAAACTACTGAAACAACAATGTAATAGGTCTCACCTATGATGAAATGGGATCTCTACTGACAAAATTATGAACTAACCAAAATTAAGAAATACACCATTGTTCACTAATAACACTTCAAATCATGGGCACTGTTGATAAACTCAAAATAGTGCCCAAAGATCAAGACTGAAAAAAATATATTGGCTTTCTTTTACCATTTTGAATCACATGTAATTTATTCAAAATATTACCATTTTACCTGAAAACAGTGATTTAGGACAGCCAGGTTGCTTTTTTCCTCCATTAGGATAAAAATCAATATGTCCCAAGGACTCCTTAATGCCTAAACCTGAAAAAAAAAAAAAAAGAACGGAAAAAAGGCAGAGTATATAATAATTAGTTCAGAAGAACTATGTAAAACAAAATCACCATTTT